CTCTCTCTCTCTCTCTCTCTCTCTCTCTCTCTCTCTCTCTCTCTCTCTCTCTCTCTCTCTCTCTCTCTCTCTCTCTCTCTCTCTCTCTCCCAAGTACTGACCTGCGAAAGGAGGTGCCTTGATGAAGGTGCGGAAGTGCTGAAGACGAAGCTGGAGCAATGGCCATGCAGGTAAGTCTCAGGTAAGTCCTCAGGCTGCCATCACCATCTCTCCCTCCCTGCTACTCTACTCTATCAGCGCCCAGCGCTGGAGACTAGTGTTATCGTCGACTACTACTGCCCTGCTGTCGTCCGAAGTATGCCTCCTCGATCCTCCACCGAATCCCATGACTGAGGCCGGACCTAGCTAGATATAGCGCTGGGTCGCCCTCAGCTGCCGAGTCCTGGCACTCAAACTGAGGCTGGGCCTCCAGCGCCTACGGAAACGGCACGGTCTCAAACTCAGGGCCTTGGCGCCAAAACGCAGGCCAGGGCCTGTAACCAAAACGAGGCCTACAGGGCCTAACTGGTACCGGTCCTACTCAGGCCTAAAACCGGCCTACTGACCCTGCGGACCCTACTGAGGGTCGAAACGACACAGACCCTACACCTACGGACCCCTAGCCTACCTGGTCGGGCCCTGCTAGGCCCATGTGGACCTGAGTAGGCCATACTCCCCCCTCCTTGAAAGACCGAGCTTATCTGTGAGGGCGAAGCTGTCTATTGGAGGGAGGGACCGGAGTCCGGGTGGGAGGGGCAGGCATTGCAGCTTCCGTGGCTAGCCGTTTCTTCTCATATTTGGCGTAGATAAGCGGTGTGGAGGCTTGCAAGGCTGCTCGTGAAATCCATCGTGTATCGTCGGGGTCGCACCACTTGAATGTGACCTTGTACTGCATTGGCTTGTTGCCGTGCTTGTGATGCGTGATGACGCGATCGACTTCCTGATGACCATCCATAGAAGGACGGTCCTGCGATCGTCAGCCCGGGAAGTCGTTGCTCTTGGCTGGTGTATATGTGGCCAGCTTGGAGGCGTGGAAGACCGGGTGGACCGGTAGACGCGGTGGGATGCCGATCACAAAAGAAGGGCCATCGGGTTCATCACCCGCAGCTGATATGACGGTCCATGCTCCAAACCACTTAGGAAGTAGCTTGCGCGAGACGTCTTGTTCAAGTGCAAACTCCTCCGTGGAGACCCAAGCAAGGTCGCCCGCGCGGATAGGGCATGGCATGCGACGCCGATTGGCTTGCTGTCGCATGCGGACTTGGGCCCTTTGCATGTTGGTGCGGGCTTTAGCCAACAAGTCCCGATACTTCCGAACGGATGCGGGAGAGCAAGCGACGTCCATGTAGGCAGTCCTTGGAAATGGAAGATCAGCGAAGATACGGCCTCTCCTGCCACCATGGTGCAACTCGAATGGAGTCACGCCGATCGCTGGATGCAACGAAGTGTTGTAGGCGAATTCGATGTTGGGGAGGTGGTCAACCCAATCCTTCTGATCCGTATGGATGAGTGCGTGAAGCATCATCTGAGCGGTGTAATGTGCCCGCTCCGTTTGCCCGTCCATTTGTGGATGTCGAGTCGAACTTGGTTTCATCTCGGTGCCAGAATCTTTCATGAGAGAGGTTCAAAATGCCGACGTAAAACGAGTGTCGCAGTCGCTGACGATGTCTTCCGGAATGTCGTGGCCGCAAATCCAGCCGGTGTGCAAGAGGCGCGCAAGCTCATGAGCCGTGGCGTAGTACTTGCAAGGAAGAAATCGTGCGTACTTGCTCAAATGGTCAACGACCGTGAGAATGTTGTCATGCCCGAAGCGGTCGCGGGGGAACGGGCTGGTGACGTCCATAGCATTGGAGACGCCAGGTTCCCGCGGAATCGGCAACGAGCATAACTTGCCGTAGGGGTTGCGATTGCGGGGTTTGCTTCGTCGGTAAACTTCGCAAGAATCGCAATACTGGGTGACGTCGGTAATGAGGTCGGGCCACCGGAATCGTTGCCGAAGTTGTGCGATCGTACGGTTGACTCTGAAACGGCCGGCGAGTCGCAGGTCGTGGTACTGGCCGAGGAGGGGAGTCCGTAAGCGACGGTCGTGTGGGACGCATAGTAAGCCCTTGCCTCGTGAGTGAAGAAACAAGTAGCCGTCGACGACGCGACAATGGCTGGCCGGCGGGTGATCCGAGGACAGTTTCTCGTAGAGCGTGGCGTATTCCGGATCGGACTTGTATGCTCGCACAAAATGTTGATGAAGGGCATCGTTGAAACTAAATGCGTGGTGAGTCAATGCAAAAAGATCTGATCTTCGTGAGAGAGCATCTGCGGCTCGGTTGGAGAGGCCCGAGATGTGTTTTGGTGTGAAGTCGAACTGATCGATGAAGTACATCCATCGAGAGAACGTGCTGCTCACCGTGTCTTGTGTCTTGTAGTAGGTCAATGGGTTATTGTCCGTAGCCCAAGTGAACCTACGACGCCCGAGGAGGAAGTTTTGCCAACGCTTGAGTACCGTGACGAAAGCAAGCAACTCCTTCCGCGCATCATCAACCGAGTTGATGGGAGGCACCTTTTGGCTGAAGTACTCAACCAGATGCCAATCTACTCCGCCGTGCTGTTCCAAAACTGCACCCATGCCGTAGCCGGAAGCGTCCGTAGTCACTCTCGTAGGCAAGGTGGGATCGTACATACTCAAGACAGGAGCAAGGAGCAACGCCGTCTTCAATTTGTGGAATGAACTGCAGACTTCGTCGGTGAACTAAAAGGGCACCTTTGGAGACTGCAATCTTAACAAGGGTGCGGCGATCCGTGCATATCCTCTGATGAAGCGTTGTCGGGGCAAATACCCTGACAAAGGTATTTGCCGGGGATTTTAAATGTCGGACGTTGTCGAGGAGGTATTTGTTGAATTGAAGGACTTGGTGAGACTCACGTTTGCGAAAAGTTTACTCAGACCCGACCTATGACTGCGTGACTAAAAGTTTTTGAGTTTTAGTTCGGACGCTTGTGGCGTCCGAGAGTAACAACAGTAACTGGCAGTGTTTCACTTTTGTCGAGGCCGCAGAAACGCGTGGGCGTGGAAATAGTAAAGCAAGATCTATCCTACGTAAAATAATGACGCGCGCTTGCTAAGCCACGTGATTCAGAGCCTAAGTAGGCTGAAATGGACAACTGTGCCAGGTATGGGGCCGCGGCACGGGAGGAATAGGAAGATTCAGGGCCGCGGGCGCTGACTTCGAGACAGGGGGACGAAAAGCTGAGGCTGAGGCTTACCCGCATGAGTGATCTCCGAGTTGTGGATGGGCAACCATCCACAGGGGAAGCGTTGGGCAAGGCAGGCTGGGCCTGTTGAGTGTGGGCTGTGCCTACTGGGGGCTGCACCTCTACATATGGAAGAGGTGCAGGTCTAGCTCCCGTGATAGGAGCTAGCCCAGTAGGTTATAGTCCAAGACTTTCACCTAGCAAACACCGGGATCGAATCTGAGATACTGTGCCATTGGGCTTGCTCCTTTTGGAGCTGGCCTTTTCATAAGGTGTTCGGGCAAGGCCGATCTTGGCCGTACGATCACGAGATCACGCGGCTGAGATCGGCCTGCGCAAGGATGACATGCATAGTTCGAGAAAAGGCTTAAGTTTCTGTCGATCCCAGTGGGGATCGAACCCGGGTATGTATTTCAACAATTCGTGGGTACACCACGATGCGACGTGACCGTTGGCAAAACCAACGAAAATAGGAAAAAAAGCTAGAGCTAAAAATGAAGCGCCATGAGGCGCGCTCAGAAGTGACTGGGACTTATAGTCCCCAGTTTCACCGCAGGCGCCCGAAGTAACGGGCGACCGTTTTTGCTGAGGTAAGTGTTTCATTTTTTTTGTTTGTTTTTTCTTTCTTTCTTTCTTTCTTTCTTAGATTTTCATTAGATTTTCTTCTTAG